TCCTCCGACCAGTCCTTCCAAGCTGATCTATGCTGGCTTTGTAATGGGTCGTCCCATTTCATTTTATCCATCCAAATTTTTTTGCAGCAATATTTTTGCTCTAACTGAAAATGGTGTCGAAAAACCTAAAGGATCATATAGCTTCGCCGTTGCTTCCAAAACCTGTCTTTTTGAGAGTTGTCTCATGTCCTTGTCATTTCGCCATGTAGTGTCGGGAAAGCTCAACACGTCGTCTACGAAATTCCATTTTAGTCCCAAAAGCTTGATTTGTCCCTCTTTTCTTATCCCTCGATCCAGATAATTTCCTTCTTCATCAAATAGTTTTCTTAGTTCGGCATCATTTGAAATCCATTTCCTTAAAGTCATTTCCGCATTGCTGATGCTGATGTTGATGACCTCTGCTGGATGGCGCTTACCCACAGAGGGGGATGGGTCAAGAGCCGGGCGGCAGGATACTGAAATGAAACTAAAATGAAAATGAAGCCAATCTGAAAAACTAGTGTTAAAATAATACTACCAAAAAACAAAAATGCTTGCTGAGCAAGCGGTCAAACCATCTCTTGTTTTTGATAGACATAACTACGCATTATAAACTAAAGGTCTGAAAAGGTAGGGGTTCACTAGCACGGTAATCTTTTAGTTGCGTTGATGTAATCAAACACAGTGGAGCATACATCCCTGTGGCAGTAACCAGATTGCGAAAAATGTCTCGTGCTTCTTTGTATATCTTTGTCGATGTCGAGTATTCTTCGACTCCTAGTAAAACGTCATCGACGTAGATTCCTTTCCGGAGTTGCGCCACAACTGCAGGATATTTTTCTTCGAATTTATCCAAATGTCGATGAATTGTGGCTGCTAGAAGAAAGCTACTTGGTGTAGTTCCGAATGTAACCTTGTCATCCTCCACATTTTTATCTTCATGGTTGTCATATCTTCGCTGGGTATTCTTTCCCACCACATATATCTCTGTGCGTCTCGGTCATTTTCATGTATCTTGATTTGCGAAAATGCCTTTTCCACGTCGGTTGATATAGCGATCTTGTGATGTCGAAAGTTCATCAGCAAGCTTGTGATGTCGGGGTTTAGGTTTTGCCCATTTTCCAAGTTTTCATTCAAGTATTCACATAGATTCTGGCTTGATGATGCGTCAAAGACGATCGGTATTTTTGTCGTTGTTCGGTCCTTCATAATTACTGCTTGATGCGGCATGTAGTATACCAATTTGTTCTGTATATCTGATCCAGCATCTTCTTCGGTGTTTTCTGCTATTTCGTGCTTGAAGTACTCTCGAATAGCTTTGTCATAGGCTAGGAGCTCATCTTTATTCTTGCATAATTTCTTGGTCACTTGTATAAGCCTCTTCTCTGCAATGGTGTTCTTGTCGTCCAATGTCACGTTTTCCTTCCATGGTAGCCGCACTTGGTATCTTCCTACTTTAAACTTCATTGTTTGTCGAACATACTCTAGCACATGTTCATCGCTCAACTTTGTTGCTGGTTTCTCCTTGATGCCCATGTTTTCCAAGTCCCAGAATCGCTGCAGTTCGTCCAAAGTCGTATCCGACTTGGCACTGATCTTGAGTACAATAACCGTCAATAATTTCATCGGCACACAATGAAGTCCCACAAGACCTTCAACCGTCCATCCCAATATTATTTCTATTGCCAATACTTTTGGATGAATGTCGCAAATGCGACCAGTGACTACAGTACTCCAGTAATATTCTGCTGCAATAATATAGAAGTTTCCATATTTTTTCTTTCTTTGTCTGTCTTCTCACTGTCATCAGCCAAACAAATTCCAATCGATCTTGCTCTTTCGTGTATTGCCAACGGTGGCGATGGTGGCGCGTCACAGAATAAAACTTCTATCTCCAGTGCCTCAATCGTGACTGGCTGCGATGTGGGATCCTTCCTCACGCTGACCTCGACGACTTTCATGTCTAGTTCCATCTCTCCTCCTCCAAATGATCCTACGGTAATCCTATCGGATCTTTTTACCTTGCACGATAGTTTTTTGACAGTCTTTTGAGGATGAATGTCCTCTGGCTCCCATTGTTCAGCATAATCCGTGTGTAGCACCCGCTGTCTTCTCCCTCCGTCCACGAAAAAGGTGTCTGCAGTAGTTTGCACTTGTGTTCACCAGATTGTTGTGCGTGCATGTTGCAGGACTTGCTGGTGTCTAACCGGTCAGGTTGCGCCCTTTTACGCGCTTGCTCAACGCCATCACCACTTTGCTGCTGTGCTGACATTCCTGCAGGCGTACGTGGTCGACACATGGATGTTGCGTGCCTTCCCTTGCATGTTTTGCAGCGTACGTTAGCACGGCATATCTTCACCGTGTGGTGAGGTCTGGTGCATCTGAAACACCTTCGCTCCGTTGCAAGGCTTCTTTCTTCTCTTGAATACTAATGCTTCTTCTGCAATCCTCCGTGTAGTGTCCAGTCATCTCACAGAAGATGCATTTCTTAATCGAGGTGCTTTGAAGCGTAATTGTTCTAGTCCGCCTCATACTGGGTGGTGACTGGGTCACGTCGTATTTTTCCTCAAGAGTTTCTTCTCTGCTGCGTATATATATCTTTAAAAACTCCATAATTTCTTTCAAACTACTCATGCTGTCTCTTGACGCTGAGTCCGATTCCGTAGTTGCTGGTCTGTTGTCATCGTTCTCTATCTCCTTCATCTTCATCTCAATCCTCATATCCACCAGTAGCGCAGATTTTACAACAGGAGCTATCACTGTGGCATAACTATTCATTTCCTCACATAATGACTGCAATGCTCGTGTGTTTATTTGCAACTTTTGGAAGAGTTTCTTCAACCCAACTACACCTTTAGGACTCTTCACTGCTTCCACGTTTGCTAGCTCTTTTATGTAGGTCTCTCTCAAATGATCTTGTCGTCTGAATGTTTCTTTCAAAAGAGCGACTGCATGCTCGTAGTTCTGATTAGAAAACTGCAAACCTTCTATGAGGGACGCAGCCTCCCCACTTAGAGACGCCAGAAGCTGAATAAATTTTTGATTCTTCGGCATGTTCACTCTGTTATGCACCGATGTCTCGAACTCATGCCAAAACCTTGGCTATGCTGTTTTTCCCATCAAACTTGATCATCTCAAGACGTGGCAACTTAACAAGCTCTTGCGTCTCCGAGATTTGGTTTGTACATTGCACTGAGCTCGCCTGTTCTGTGACTATTCTCGTAGTCCGTTGCGTCGCTTGTTCAAACTCGAGTAATTGCTCCTCTATTTTTGTCGTTGCAGCGACGATCTTCATCTCATAATGCAAAACTCTTTCAAATTCTGCCTCCGCGTCGTCTTCTTCAATGAATGGTTCAATCTGTTCATTAACTTGTCTTAGCATCTGTGACACGCTCTTCATCTGGTTTAGAAGCGTCCTAAGTTGCGCTCAATTGGCGTTTTCTTCTATCTTCTTATCAATTTCTCTCGTAAGCGTTGTCACATTTGCTCGAAGCGTCTTCCACTCCTTCGGCAGGACCTCTTTATTCATGCTTAAAACGTGTTGAAAGAGCTCTTGCCTGTTTATGTGCGTCACCAACAGTCGTCGGTCGTGGTCCTTCCCTCGACGGTTCATCCTTGTGCCAGACGCCGCTGCTTCGTTCTTCAACCCGTTGTTGCGAATGGGGTTGATGTCTTTGCGTCCGTCCTCAGATCGTCCTGATCACGGCACTATGTTTCAGAAAGGCCAGAGAGACCGCAGCACCGATACGTCTTCGTTTTATTGTTGACAGAACAGGAATAAAAAATATACAGAGCGTGCCCCTGGCCACCTCTTCTTCTTCGCCCCCAAGCTCCATCTTCAATCTGGTTTCTACACCGGGGAATGTCGACTAGTAGGAGTGGGAAGATGGAATGACTCCATTTCACGAAATTACAGTACACCATATACTGCGACGTTGTACAGCCGCAGCTGCACTCGTGTAGAGGACGCGAGCAACGGTGTTGGCTCGGCGGGGCGAAACCTTGAGGCAGTGTTGGGTTCAGACGAGGCCAACCTGACAACTAGGCCACGCATACTCTTATACATCACTCGAGAGCGTGAAACTGCCTCAAGCTTCCTCCTCGCAGACAAAAAAAATACAAACCTGCTGCTCGCGTGCTCTACACAGACGCAGCCGCGGTTGCACACTCCCACCTCCTCACTCGAAAGTAAGAAAGGAAAACTATCTGGAATGGCAGCAGTTACAAACCCGACACACCCACTGCCCAACTAATAAGTACATATTGCGTCCACATTTCTACACTAAAGACAATTGTGGATCTATAGCCAGCCCTGATCATACTTTATTGGTATGTCTAGGCATAAAAAAACATCAACCATGATGCTAGCTTAAACAGCGACAGCTTCCGATAGCGCAGAGAGTCTGCGCTGCTTTGCTCGGACCCGGAAAATCACTTTGGGCCGTCCCAGCGAGTCGTGGAAGCCGCAAAGGGCCAGCAGCCCCTTGCTGAAGCCTAGGTGGAACCCAAGCCCATCCTACCATTTGCAGGACACTTAAAAAGGCTATTGATTTTCATCTTAGAAATGAACCGTTTTTTTTCTCGTAAAGTTTGCTAAAATTTTAAAAATGGTGATACTGCCGCAAGCGTTTTCGGCAACGGAAATTATATATATTTCAGCCACCTATTTTTAGTGAAATAATTTTAAAATTGAACTTTGATGTCCCTAATCTGCGCGGGACGTAAATTATTTTAAAATTAGACATCTTGACCGAAAATTTGCAATTTTTCAGGCAGATTTGCCTTGTACTTTATGGAAATTCGCTCTACGCTCGCTTGATTACACATACTTCCGTCACAATTCAATTCTACGTGAATGACAGCACAGATCTGTAAAGATGGCAGTGGTGTCAGTAGTATCAGATGTAGCGATAGTTATGTTGAATGTTCACAAAGCCGCAATTTCTCCTTATTTCAAAAATATGAATTCGATGAGGACATTGATGCGATTAAAAATCCCAAAAAGTAGTTTTTAGACTTACTTGCTTTGCATTTCGCAAAACTCTGTCAATGTCTAAGGAGAGTGAGCAATCAGCATCCACCTCGGGTGCTCCGGACAACGGGAATAGGGGCTTTTGAAGGGCGTGTGTATCGATATGCGTTTAGAAAACAGTAAGGCGGTCTTCTGCAAATAAGTCTCCTCAGGCGCACTGGTCGAAAAGAGAAAGTCTACCTTGAAATTCAGAGATGTTCATCAAATTTCATAGTACTCTCTGCTTAATTAACAATGTTGGCTGCGATTCCATAGACCAAGCCTTTATATACCCTCTTTTGTAGCCACATCAGTGTAGAAGAGACGGACGATATTAATTGAAAACGTTCACAAGGATATGATATTTGACATGGCGCAATAGGAACTCTGACGCGTGTTCCATGCGTAGAAGTAGTTAAAACACAGATATTCACAAATACAAAAGAAAAGCAGAAAGTGAGGAGTAATTAGTGTTATTTTGTTTTATTTGTGCAAATGCAATCTCTTTCTGTATTTGTTAAGCGCTGCAAATACCTCGTTCAATATTGCAATTATGCCAGCCAACCGCTTTCAAAAATGAATGACAACAGATTAAGAAATTGCATGCTTGATCGCTCATCTGATGCGTGGTGGTTGTCAAAAGTTGGATTATCTGCTACACGGGCTTGGGAAACTCGTTCTCTTTGTGTTATGCCTCAAAGCTGTCACGCATTCTTTGAAGTTAGTACATACATAACTGGCAGTTGCCTGAAATTGAAAGGTGGTATTATTAGGTTCGGTGTAAGATATCTAGAGGAATGAAATTTCGCGTTGTAATTATTGGTGGCAGACGTAACCTTTTAAACTCTTACAACACGATGAATTACAGGGCTGAGTTACAAGGTGAAGATGAAATAGAACATCATATATATCCAACGCTTTTGTAGCTAAGCCAGGTTCGAACATCAAAAGCAAATGAAAATTTATTTAATAAAATTAGCCAGTAAGTCAGACTTACGCTTAAGAAACTCCTTGGGTTCATGATCTAGACCGCTTCTTTTTTTTCTTTTTTTTCCCGTTTTGCTCAAGCGGTAACTGCAAGACAGGTTCTATAGCGATTTTTACATAGCTGCCGATGAACGCCCTTAGTCTAACGCCTAGGTATTTGGTAATAATATACTGAAAGAAATGAATAAAAGTATCGACGAAGTCTTCAACTTTTGTCAGGATACTCCCTCCATGCTCAATCTGCTCAATTCTTTCTTCTCTTTTACTGGGGTGACGACAAACCTTGCACTGCGAGCTTCTAATGAAGTTGACCAGCGTTTGACCACACACATACACGAAAACAACTTTATTTAAACACCTGAGGGACTAGCTGAATGAAGTCCCAAGACCCCCTTAACCATCCCGCGGCTCCAGGCAGCTCATCACAGGAAAGTTCCGTAACTTTATTAACAATGCTACGACCATTTTGTACAAGAATTCATAGCTATTAGCAGGTTTGATTTTTGAACTACCAGCAGAGCTGTCCGAGTCACTGGATTCATGCCGGTCATGCGGACTCGCTGCTGATGTCGCTTCACGTTTCTAGTCGCTTTAATCACCTTGCTATTTAAAAAGCCGACGTTTATTTTTGGACCCAGGCAAACATGCGTCCTCTTATGTTTACTTCATCATGCACCATCGAGACCTTCGCCAGCTTAGCTCAGTCTAGTGCAGAACTTTTCCATCATTTTTTAGACTGTTCCTTTCGAATAGCCTTTGGCTATACTGAAAGAAGTGCCTTTCATTTCCTACAATTACTCATTACCTTCTCTTTCTCACGGTAATCCATGGATTTCGTAAATACTGATCTTACATTACCTTGCCTTAGTTTGCCGACTCGATGAATTCTTTCTACCGTTTTACCTTCTACACCTAACATGCTTCTCAAAGTGTTATCTACAACGGCGTATCGTCAATATGCCTCGACCTCACTGGTGGTCCTCACAAACCCCGAAAAAAAGTAAATTATCTCTTTCGTTTAGGTTTTCAAAATCCACTAGACGTTCGGTTTGTTTCTGGGGTATCACTTCTATCTTTTCCATTCTCTTTGGCATTGTCTGTATGACATGAAGATGCCCATTCAATATTTCTCACGTTTTATTGAGTTCGGCATCTTCTTTTGTAACGGTGTCTATCTTTTCACCAAATCTTTTTTGGTTATCTAAAATTCGTTGCAACAAATCTCTAGTCTTAGGACCCGAATTTTGTTACACATTCTCCAAGGTTAACAAACGTAATATTGACAACAAGCAGTTTACAGCAATAAACCAACATCGCCGAGAGCATGGAGTCCCAACCAAGAATCTATTGTCTCTTTTGTAACAAGCTGCATCAGGATTCACGCCAACCTGCAACGGTAGGATCAGTGGTTTAGCTATGCTGCCCAGTTGATATGTGCCGTGCCCTCTAAAGTGGCTGTCTTCGTGTCCGTCCTTAAGTACACCAGCGGTCACTGATGTCATCGTTCTCCTTCGCTTATTATACAGTACGATGTTTATTGTCTTACTTTCGTAGTCATGCAGCTGGACCAGAGATTGCCTATGCACGTTGCTTGACGTAATCACGGCAAAAAGAAAGTCACTACCAGGAATATTTCGTTCAGGCACGGATAAGTAATGTGGTTTGGCCGCTACGCAAACTTGGGAAGCATGAAAGACAGTACGACAAGTATTTTGATGCCATTCCTGTGTGCATAGGCGAAACATGTTTACGAATGATGACAAATCCCGAAATCACCTGCTGTTGAACTTCAAGACACGCGAAGTGACCCAGAACAAATTACAGACAGTCGTAGAACAGGGTGTCTATGTTCGACGCACGAAGCGTATTCACTTATTACTCAGCCCAAAGGGAAAAAGAAATTTTGTCACAGTAGGAAAAATCATCGTTCTATTTCTAAGTCCGAACACATTATTTGCGAGACTGAATAGCCTCCAATATTTCCTCCATAGCGTTGGACCTGATATATGAAACGGAAGAAATGGCTCCCTATATCTTTTCCTCCACGGCATCTTTGTAGCAGGCAGCGCTATAGCACGGCCACCGAATAAAAAAAGAGGTACCTGACAAACGGCGCTTCGAATTCCGATAATGCTATGGCGTCTTATATCATGGCCAGCGTGAGGTGTAGACGCGCATGTGAGTCGCGTCTGCAATTTATACCAGCCCCTGCTCCTATATAGAAACCCTCGTTTTGGCTGCACACGACTCTCAGTAGCGACAAAACCCAACAAATATAAATATCATAAGTTGGTGAAAGAACTCCCAGACTTTGAGCTTGCTTCGCGAATACGTCATACGGAGACATCTTGCGGGCTCCAACAAAGTGACGTCTGCAAATGCCCGCAAGCTTTGCGTACTTCCAAGTATGAGTGGGATGATAGCATAGATTAGAGAAAATGTCGAAGTGAGCTATACATGTGAAATCGCCATTTCCGCCAAAGCTACACGTTCATTTAGAGTGCACGCAAAACTTGGCGTTAGTGTTTGTCACACCAGAGCATGCGGCACAAGCTAACCTGTTGCGAACCCCTGCTAATTGACGCAAATAGCAGGTGCCCGCAACGAACGCTAACTTAGATTCAAAAACCCTCGAATGACTTATCAATCCTAGTGAGGAGACCAAGGTATGTTTGTGCGAGGGGAGCTGCAGGCCGACACTTCAATCGTTCTCTTCACTTCCGTAGCAAGGCGCCATGGATGCTTTGTAATTACGGTACCGAATTCCCATGCGTCTTCACTTCTTTACTTCATACGCCAAAACAAACAACTATTGATGTAAAAATACACTTTTTTCTGTGTTTCCTTCTGTACAGTGAATCTACTGAATCATGTTAGAGAAAAGCGGAGCAAAAGAGCTGACTGGTCGTACGTATTTGTTTCGAGATGAGCGCAAATGATGCCTCAGTGTTGCAGAGTTGGTTATTTTGTGTCCACTACTGCTCCAGCCTGATTGTGTCCTTCGGTGTAATATTCACCAGTTGATTGTACCATACGTTTAGGGAAAGGAGTAACCAAACGCTACTTTTCGCGAAGTGCGGCTGAAACAGTTTCACAGCGAGTCCTTGCCACACCTTTCTAAAGTAGGTCACGTAGCGCCGGTTAACATTGTTATGTAGCCTGCTGAGCACATCGGCACGTTCCGTCGATAGCTCAGTTGGTAGAGCGGTGGAGTGTAGTGGAATTCTCATGTGAACATCCATAGGTCACTGGTTTGAATCCGGCTCGATGGAGTTATTTTCTTTTTTTTCCAACATTCGTTACTTGGGTCTCATGCGCTGTGTGCCCATTGGTCAGGCCTCTTCTAAATTCTTGCTTTATTCATAACCTTAAATTTCGCTACCGAGGTGCGCAAAAGCCCTCATTAGAACGTTGAAATAGGGGGGGGGGGGCATTGCTGATGAGCACGCGAGTTCAAAAATGAAACTCGAAGATTTTTGCCTGTCTCCTAATATGCACATCCTATTCTCAATAGACTGTGCGTATTTAGACTGTGCGTACGTAGAAATTTGCACCGGCGGATTTCTACGTAAACAAGACTAGACAAGAAAAAGGGCAAGTTTAGTTTGGTTTAAAATGCTTGGTAGTTGCGGAGTCACCCTAAATTTTGCGCGTCTGGTCCGCCCGCCTGATAAGTAGAATATTTGGTGCGCACCTCATATAAGCTTTGTTGTCGGCACTCTGCGAGAACAGCGCGCTTATGCACGCCTTGTTCGGCCTTTATGTAAATAGTATCGAAACAAGGGAGTAATCACCAGTTAAAAGAATTGTCTTAAACAAAACGAACGCATACGGTTGTTTACTGGACAATATCTGGTTACAGAATACCAACAGTCAGCGCACAGCACACGCGGTCAATGCGATATCATAACTCGCAATTAAAAGCATTTCGTTGTTCCTTCACGCGTATGTGACACACAAGCAAGCAATAATCCGAAAAAGACTCTGGCACTACGGAAAGCCAATGCATATTGACATTATGACTAGCGATAGGTACATGCGGTGCAACCACGCGTGGCTAGGACCTTGAAATTGCGTGTACATCACTTCGTGATTTTCTTCGACACATTCGAACACATCATCCAGGTCTTTCTCGTTTTCTTAGCTAATTTTCTTAGCGCATCACTGCGTGCTTTTCTCGCGAATGTCAGTACTGTTGACTGTATCACTAGCATTTATAACACAATTAAAATCCCC